AGGTAATGCTGAGATCTTTCGTGTTTATTTATTTATTCATCATTTTAAATGCAAGACAAACAAAATGTAATCACAAATTTCTCCTATTTGTACGATAAACAAAAATATCAAACGTGAATAAAGGAATGGATAGGTATTATTAAAGAAAAGAAAATATATCTCATTAAACTGATAATAAATGCATGGTAAAGTGTTTGAGTCTAAACAAATGTGCTTAAATAATGATCATAAGATAATTATGAATAAATATTCCCAGATTCTTCTTCTAAAACTAAATCAAATGACTTCCTTGATCCTTTAGAGTTTGTCAAACCACACTTGCCCCTGCATTGCGAGATCTTCTCTTGATTATGCTTCTCTTTCGCATCCAAACCGTCTTTTCAAATTTTGAGCTTAGATAAGTCATCATTTTTTTTCTTTTTTTTTCTAAGTAAAATATTTTTTTACAGCATCTGAATTTATTAGAGTAGACAAATCACCTCCATCCATCTCTGCCAAAATCAATGTCCCACCAAAAAAGGTTTTTTTCATCACGTACGGGCCCTTCTAATTTGGTGTCCATTTTTCTTGATTGTCATGTTGATTTGTAAGGATTCTTTTCAACACTAAGTCTCATTCTCTAAAGCGATGAGGATGAATTTTTTTATCATGTGCTCTCATCATCTTTTTTTGATATAATTGACTATGACAAAGTGCTGGCAGTCTTTTCTCTTTAATGAGGTTCAACTGCTCGTAGCGATTTTGAATTCATTCTGCTTCTAAGATCCATGAAGACTTCTTAAGAGAAAGCTATCCTAGAGTAAATATCTTGATGAAGAACTGTACGATATAATTATGCAAAAAAGAAAAAATAAATAAATAAAATTGAGTTAGTGTGAGGATGTGGTTTGAGAAAAAATATTTTTTTTGTGTTTTGAGATTTTTTGTTTGGTTTTGTTTTGTATTAGACATAGGTATTTCTTACAATGAGGTGGACGAGGCTATACCTAAGGCTAGTTTTCTAGGCTTATTACATGCTGAGTTTGGATTGATACGTATCTAAAGGTTCTCAAATTATTTCTCTCTGTTGTCCACATTGGACTAGTAAGACACCTCGATCCTTACCCATTACAGGCTACGAACGAAAATGGTTCAATTTGAGAGAAAGTATTTCGCTTGCCATTACGGAGGTTATCACCTCACGATGACATAGGTATTCTACTTCCTCCTATAAGGGATAAAGCTCGAGTATAGAGCTCATGCATAAGATGTATTATATTATTATGTGTGCAAATATATCATAATTTATTAAGAGTAATATATATAAAAAAAACAAAGCATAAGAGGTATAGTAAAATAATGTTTTCAATTTTTTTTTACCTTTTTGTTGAAAGTGAAAAATAAAAATCTAAGAAACCGATTAAGAATGTTTAAATCAAAATTTAAGGATAACACATAGTTAATTTTAGCCTGACTCTCGAAAACAAATGGCATCCCTAGTGGAGTCTCCAAGCTGTCATAACAGTTTTGTATTCGCCTAACTAATTTGGAAATGAAATAAAAAATGAGAGTCGCCACCAATCTTTTTTGGTTAGGTGCGATTGGTCACCTATTAAAACATATCATTTTAATAAAATCTTAAAGTTAATTAAAATTTATTAAAAAAATAATTTGAGGTCTGCGTAATAGTCTGGGTTTAGAAGTCGGTTATAAGTTGAAAAGGATTAGCACCCCCACAGTGCCCGTTTAAAAATGGTACCACTTAACTATGTGTTATCCATTGATTTCAATAAAAATAATCTTATTTTTGGTGTTTGAAAAATAATTTTCTTAAATTTTTTATTTATTAAAAATTATTTATTTATTTATTTTTTATTGTTTCATTTTTATTCGAGAAAAATAAATTAGAACCTTTTTATTGAAATAATTCTTAAAATGTTATAGTACGTTGATAATATTAGAATAACTTTTTCTCACCTAGAGATTTCTTAGGCATCGTTTCTCGGAATACTTTACAATCCCATCATTGGAGGCTCAAATTTACTTTTCATAAAAAATTATGTCGTGCATGCAATGCAGAGTGTTATCATGTTAATGCACACATTTTATTCTCTTTTTTAGAAATTTTATTAATTATTTTATTTAATTTTTTGAAGAAAAAAGAAATTTTTGTTATATTGAAGTTTTTATAGTAGTATTTTCTAAAAAAAATCTTTTCACCTAAGAATTTCGTAAAGCATCACTACTCGGAATACTTTTAGAATCTCATCATTGGATAAAATTTCATTTTTTTTTATTTATATGATCACTTTATTACTTTTTATAAATTAATATTTATTTTTTTATTAACAAAAAGATAAATTTTATTGTATTAAAAACTTTTTATAAATACTCAAATACACTGGTAGTATTTTAAAAAAATCTTTTCACCTAGAGATTTCATAGGTATCACTACTCAGACTACCTTTAAATTTCATCGTCGGATAAAAAATTTTATTTTCTTACATTTTTATTATTTTTGTGTGATATTAAGTTTATTTTTTTATTTTTAAAGTTTATTTTTAAAATGAACAAATAAAAAAAAATTTAACTACATATTTCATCATTTAATCTAACAAATATAAATATTTTAATATGTATAAATATTAATAAAATAATATATAAAAAATTAAAAAAAAATTTTTTTACCTGAACCAGACTAATCAACGGTCTGATCAATGCAGGTCTGGTTGGATCGACGGCTCGATCCGATCTGGTTCAGTTTGGCAGTTCGGCTAGACCGGTCAAAGGTTGAAGGAGGCGTGGGTCACCGTGTCGATTGTGCGGATCCCGGGTCGGGTCAGCTGGTTGACGCGCGAATTCTGGGTGCTTAAAACGACGTTGTTTTGGGCATTTATTGAAACAACGTCGTTTTGATTTTCACAGTTTATATAAAAGGTTATAAAATTTTTTTTTTGTCATTTCTCTTTCTCTCAGAAAAAAATCACCTTTCTCCCCCTTTTTTTTTTCTTTTTCAGGCCGATTAGGGACGGTGGCCATCCCACTTGACTGTCGTCATGGTCCTTGCAGGCTACGAGCTTCGATCACCGTCGTCGATGTCAAAAAATTCTAAAAAATACTCACAAACTCCTCTCGACCCCATGAACACAGATCTGACCTTCTTTTTAGCAAAAAGAGTTCCCAATTCCCTAAATCTACCTTCTAAATTTTGGCCAAAACCCTTTTCTCGCTCTTTTTTTTTGTATTCTGACATGATTTTATTCTTTTTTGCAGGGTTTTTTTTTGTGCTGGATTTTTCGTTCCAAGGGATTGTTTTTTATTTTTTTGTTTTTTCAGAATGGTTATTTTTATTTTGCAAGTTTCCTCTTCTTGTTTTTGACAGAAAGCCTTTTTTTTTTATAAAATTTTTTTGGCAGTTTTTTTCTATCATTTTCTCTTTTTTTTAATCGATCCTCCTTCTATTTTACATGTAACAAGCTCTATTTATGGAGCTTTCTGGGATTCGAATCCCAGATTTTTTGAGATTCAAATCTCATATTTTTAACCAAAAATTCACACTGTCAAGTTAGGCAATGTGTTAGGCAGCTATCAGTGGTTGTGACGGCTGGCATTTTAAACTTTGGTGATGATGCATTTAATGCATTAAATTTGAACCGAATAAGGAAAGAAGAAAAAGGAAAAAGAAAAAAAGCAAGAAAAAAAATAAAAAAATGAAAAAAAAAAGAAGATAATAATGATAATAAAAAAAATGGTGTTTACATATAATATATAAAAAAAATTAAACCAAAATCGATCTAATCTAACCATTACCATCTTTACAAACTATTAGCTAGAACGTAGAATAGTAAGAAAGAAGCCTCTTTGGCTTCGGTTCTAATGACAAAAAAATTTATGAGTGGGTTGGTCAAAGTACTGGGAAGGCTTTTTGTTCGGTTGCTAATGATTTTGCCTTGAAACCAAGATAGCGTGCAAAAGCGTAGCTACATGCAAGGATTGAACATTTTGCATGAAGCAAAGCTTGGTTTGTTGCGCACTTTCGAGGAGGCTTTTGACTTGGCTTCGCCTCTAGGGATTAATTACGGGCCGTGCGTCACACCCTTACCTGGTATATTCTTCTTCCAATTATTTGATTCAACGTAACACCCATCCACTACTACAAACGAGTCTAGGCTATTTTGGGCATAATATTTTGTAGCCTTCTGTAATATTATTGGGGAAGAGAAAATTACTATGAAGTATAAATCCCTTCTACTAATATTCAAAGCAGCAATTGGATTTCTTAAGAGAGATGATTATATCTAATTAAACTTATTCTTCTCCAACTTCCTCCATCCTTTTCTGTCCACAACCGTTATGACGTAAACATCAATAGAAAAGAAAATTCGAGTCTTTCGTGGAAAAACGAAGATTACCAATGGACTTGCAAAATTAATAAGTGGGTTCCTTTCATTTTACATTCTTCGAGCTCAAATAAATAATTATAAAACATAAATACGATATATAATGCAGATATGATAAAATATAGATAAAATAATATGATAATTTTTTTAAAAAAGAACATGATATAATGAAAGATGATAATAAAAAATAATTTTTTATATTATAATCGTCAATTAAAAATATAAAATAAAAATTAAACTAATTTTTAAAAGCTATTTGCTCTTATAAAGAAAAATGAATAATAGATACAATAATAAAAATATATAATATCATTATTCACACAAAAATTATTTTAAATTTAACAAGTATTTTAAAATATTACAAATGTTAAAATATTGAACAGGAATATAATATAGATATATATATATATATATATATGCAAGAGATTCAAAAGTGTCTGTATTTTGTAAATATTCAGTATGAAAACTAACTTAGCGTCAAATAAAATCATATGAAAAAAAAAAATGAGAGAAAAAGAAACCAACACTCCATTCCCAAAAATTCTAAAGAGGAAGTGAACGAAGGAGTACCCAGTAGGTCTGGTCTTATAAATTATCGTATTCTCTTTTCAATTAGCTGCTCAACATTGAACCATTGGAACAGTACGCAAAAGTAAGGAACCTATGGTGGTAGCGAAATTCTGACAGGTGGCAGATGATAAGATAGTTAGATTGTTTAACTCGTAAAAAATAAACGGCAGTGATGAAAGGGGGTACCTTTTTGTTTCTTCCTGAAGCACGAGTTCTCCGTGGAATTTCTTCAAATATAATTAAAGCATTCATTACATTTGTTTATTCCACTTTAATCATTCCTAAACCCGTAATTATGAAAATATAAAAGAACAAAGACAAAGTATGCATTTATATATATATTCTTTATAAAAACGTCAAAAGGGCAAACCAAAACCGAAAATCAAGCAACTCAAGGCTGACATCACTCTGTCACAAGATCGATTTTACATAAGATATTTACATTTTTTTTTTTTAAAATCTATTTCTTATTACAATCGCGATGGGGGAGGGACAGTTCTATGCTGACACATCTGAGGGCCTGGCAGCGGCATCGGCGAATCTTGGTTGCCGCAGAAGCTCTAACAGTGTCTCCGCCTGTCCAAATAATGACAAACAAAACGACAAAGAAATCACTCCATCCATTAGACCCAATAGATACAAAACATTAACTAAAAAAAAGAAAAAAATAAAAGAAATTTCAATCGTAGAAATCAACCGAGTGAAGTTGAACTGACTGGAAGAAAAATAAATATTTTGAAAGGACATTTTTATCGTAAAAAACAGGGCGTTGCGCCGTTGCGACTAGTGCGTTTTCTTTCATTAACCAAAATGGAAGGGATAAAATTTTGACTGACGAAGCAAAAACATTGTGCACTGCTTCTGTTCTTGTCGTAAAAAACAGCCATAAAACTGGCTACATTTTTCAAAATAGCCATGCCACGTCTGTCAACGATGACTCCCGGCCGGAAGTTTCTCTTTCTCAGCTAAACTTAATACTGTTACTAGCAATTTACCTTTAGCTTGGCGCGATTAGTGCCTGACTGAGACAGAGCCTCTAGGGGAGGAATCACTCCTTCCCGAGTCAACATAGTACGGTACGCCAGATTATCTTCGCAAATCTGTAACAAGATCGCTATGGCGATTTCCTTTTGCCTTTGTGATCCAACTTCAACGATTTCCACCAAAACGGGAATCCCTCCTTCTTCAACTAATGCCGTTTTGGCTTGCGGTAATGATACCAACACGCTCAAAACGAAAGCTGACTTATCAACCATGTTTGACCCGAAGTCGGCCATTAATTCCACTAGTGGTTTCATGATCCCCGCTTCAACGGCCTTGATCTTGTTCTCTCTAACCGTACATAAAGAATACAGAGCCGTTGATGAGTCTTTTTTCCCGCGAAATCCTCCCTTCTCGAGAAGTTTAACTAAAAGTGGAATCGCTCCTGACCGTCCGATCGCCACCTTGTTTTCTTCTATCTGAGAAAGCCGAAGCAAAGCACAAGCCGCGTTTTCTTTAGCCGTTGAAGTTCCCGTTCTCAAAGTTCTAACCAGTGGCTTAATCGCTCCCGATGACGCTATAAGTTCTTTGTTCTCATCGCATAAAGAGAGATTCAAAATCGCCGTCACGCCGTTTTCTTGAAGATCAGGATCAGAGGATGAGATTAATGAAATCAACGGCTTAATCGCGCCGGCTTTAGCGATCTTGATTCGATTCTCCGGTTTGTTCTTCGCCAATAGTCTAAGCTCCAAAGCCGCATGCTTTTGCTCGTCAATCGAACAGGAATCGAGGTCCGATACGAGTTGCTGTATCAATTCATCGGAATTCTCAGAATTAGCACAGGCGAGTAATAACGGCCGACTCTGAGACGATGTCGATGGGAACTCCCCGGATCTATCGCTGTTACAATCACTGAAAGGTGAAGAATTATCGTTGATACTCAAATCATTAAAGCTCTTCCCCTTATACGTGTAATTCACTGCATTATCCATCTCCGTAGCCAAAGCACCAAGCAATCACTGCATTAAAATCTCTCCGGTGAATAATCAAAGACCCCGATTCATAAAGGGTTTTGGAATCGGGCAAACCGGATCGGAAAGTGAGCCCATTCGGGTTAGTTGAAAAAGGAGGAGGGATAGGGGAGAATATAAGGGGGTTAGAGCAACAGGCAGCTACACCTGGACTCTTGCAGTGGGTATTGGGGCGAAAGGTGCTGGGTTTTAACCGTACAAAGTCCGGGCTAAGAACGTGCGAAAGTTTCCCTCTTTAAGCGCGTGCATAGAAAGGGTTTTAATGGAAGACGAAGTCCTTTTCTCTCTCATCGATTAAACTCCGTGCGATTTTGAAAGTTCAACTGATAGAGATAATCTTGAGCAAGATACTCAGCACTGTGATAAAGCTACGTTTCAGTACTCTCTCTTCAAAACTGACACGTAACACCACGCACCTCACTTAGAGTTGTAATGAGTCGAATAGTGAGAAGTTCGAGTTCAAACTCAACTCACAATTAAAGATTTGATATTTAATTCGAATTCGATCAAATTTTATTTTTCAAGTTTGAATTCGATTCGTGTTCGAATTCGAATTAATCGAGCTCACTCGATTAAGCTTGATTAATATATAAAAATAAGCTCGATTCGTATACTCGATAAGAGTTCAATTATTCATGTTCGAACTCAGACTCAAACTCGAATTCGAAATATTTTATTAATTAAAATAATAAAAATATATTTAAATATAAAAACTCGATTAGATTCGTAAGTTACTCGAGTCAAATATAAAAATATTCTAATTCGATTCGATCGATAAATCGAATTATTCAAGTTCGAACTCGACTCGATAATAATCAAATCGAATTTAAATTTTTTTCAGATTGAATCTGAATAATTTACGAGTATTAATATATCATTTATACTTTTAATTACACCCAATCCTAATTCCCTGTTTTCTTTTTTATTTTTTTAATTCTTTTGGCCACTCGCCCAATGCCGCTCTCATCAATCAAATTGCATAGAATTTGATTCGGTGGTTTTAAATTTTTGGCCAAACGAGGTTGGGATCGATTTTTTTTTTCTTTTTCATCATCATATATTAAAAATATGACATCATGATTCACGACTATTATGCTCTGTTTTACAATTTCAAAACTGGGAAAAAATGTGGATGTGACAATATGATTGAAATTATACTACGCCAACCACGTTCCGTTATTGACTTGGAATTCCAATAGTCATGTGGGGCTGCAATCCGACCAAGTAAAATAAATAATAAAAAGAAAACAAGCCTCAGCTTATGTTTTTTAAATTTCAAATTGAAAAATTTTGTTTAAGGAGGCAACGTACTATAGAATTTGTAATGGACACTAGAAACTCTGAAATGCATTGTCTAGATGGTTTTAGAAATTTAGTAGCCGTTTCGATCTCATTACATGTTTAATTGAATTTAAACATTAATTTTAATAAAGTTAAATTAATATAAATTTTTTAACTATAATTATAATAACAATAATTTTTATTTTTATTTTTAATATCATCGTAATTAATTTCATTATTTATCCAAACGAAACCTTAACATAATTTCAAAGTTATTTGTGAATTTTATACATGGAGGGTAGCTTTTCTCCGTCCTCAGTTGGAGCCTGATTGTTCTATTTGGTTTGTGGAGGCATTGGTGGGAATAAATTTTTGACGTTAACACATAATCATGGGAAATTTTCAACATAAAAATCTATTGGACCACACATAATATATTTCTGGGTGAGATAAAAGATATTTTTATAGCCTAATAGGGTTAAGAGCCCAATACTGATACTGACTCTCATTTCTTATGGACAATTTGTATGGGCTGATAGCCCAATCCTCAAAGGTATGATGCTGTATGAAAATCTTTGTTTTATAAAATACAAAAAATTAAAGATATGATGTTTCATTCAAGCAAAACATGAAAATACAACCAAATAATGGAAATTGTCTTTCCTGTTATTCCCACAAGGCATTATATTTTGATGGCCACAATCAAAGCCGTAATCAGGGTTTGTCCTTCCCCTCTGATAAGGGTGACTCCTAAGGTGTCATATTTGCACCATCCATGTCAGTTGAATGGTGGAGCCAGCTGTGGTGGGTGAGATTGCGAGAATCTTCACAAATGAAAACGCATTAACAGTGGGATGCTCTGATCTTGTTGATTCACACACACACTGGTGAATGCAAAGCTCAACAATCAAGGCAATCTTGGTACCTTTGTACAGCATGAGCTCAGACCCAAGTCCTTCCTTTGACACAAAGGCTTTGGAGAAGACTCCAAAGTTTTGGTTTGGCTCTCTCTATAAAGCCTTGAACAAGTACATTGACTTCATGATAGGAACAAAATAATGTGGTCAATGGGATTGAAAAATCTCTTGATTTTCTTCCTTGACATTTTTATATAGGCATCGTGATAGTGATTTAAAATGGAATTTAGTGCCTTTCAGAAAGTGTGTACTTTTTTGGATTGTCCAAAATTTTTTATTACTCTTCCTTTTTCTTTAACGAATTATTACTCATTTTAAGTGATTACGCCTCTTGTGATGAATTTCTTTAAAGTGGCATACGGTTCGGTGCAGCCAAAACAGCTCAAGCCTTGCAAAATTTGTATAGGGCCTGTAATATTTGAAACCTAGTTGGTCATGAATCTGAAATAATGTATTCTATTGCTTTGAATGCAGAAAATCGGGTAAGTCGGATCAAATTTATTAATATATTTATGTACATTAGTTGATTGGATATTTTGGTCCATCCAATATTTGCTCTAGTAGTTTTCTTCTGTTATTTGGTAAGCTAATCACCAACTTGAAACGTGTAAGATGGATATCTTCATCGTTCAGTAAATGGCGGATACTAGATTTATTTAATGTTTCATGCACTGGAGTGGCTAACTCAAGTCTCGAGTTTGTTATACTAGCATGGAAAATGACACTACCTTTTTTAAAGTGGTCACCCCTATTTTGGTCTTACCCAACTCATTTTCTTCCTTTTTTATCCCATGCAACGTGGTCTGAAATCTTTGGATTGCTGCCTAAAATTCAGGTCGAATGGTGCGGCTATTAGAAATGTATGTTATTACATTGTTGATAGCCACGTTCGAATGTCTTTTAGACTAAATGATTCAACTTTGAAGTTTAGTACTTTGGAAGAGCTTTACGTTTGAGTAATTCAAAGCAGTAGTTTCCATTCAATCAAACTGGTAGGCTTTACCAGGAATTACAGATAGAAAAATCCAGCACCTAATACACAAAGCGAGGGGGGAGAACATGGTTCTTTTTCCTTTTTTTGTCTAATTGACAGTTGCCCTTTTCATTCGAAGAATCTACTTTTGAATCAGAATTCGGGTTTCCATTGTGGATTCCTATGACCATGCATAATAAATTTCAGCGTATTAATGGTGATTTAAGTGATTCGCCTTTTTCCCACTTGTATAAAAAAAATCTCTGGATTTTTTACAGCTTTAAGAAGAAAAGAACAGAATAATAATAATTATAAAGTTGACTTTTGGGTAGCTGTTTATTGCATATTGCCTATTGCCAATTGCTGATTGGATACTAAAACGATAAGAGGAAAGAAAAACACAGAAAAGACTTCATCAGCGGCGGTTGTCCACCACAGTACAGTGTTCCAAAGCCGCCTGCTCTGCCTTTCTCAACGGCCTTCGTCTCAACTTGCCTTAACGGAAAGAGTAAACAAAAAATACAAACCAAAGGGTTTGAACTGAATGAAATAACTTGTAACAGTAGCATCTACATGCCAGTTGGCAATGAGTGCTCGAATGGGTACCGGACAATAGATCCGAGATTTTGTATTATATCACATAGTTTTCTCCGAATTCATCAATACCAGTCATAATTCAGAAAATACAATAAACTAAAATCTAATAGCTCAAAGCCTCAAAAACAAATCTATTGTTAAACGAACTGTACATTATTCATCACACTGACTAGGATTGACAAACATATAAGAACAAGAGAAAGATGAATTCAAACAGATATAAGTAGAGGTGAAATAGACACCCTTTTCCCTTTCTGATTCCAATGTAAACAAGAAAAAATGTAACTGAGACATGATAACAAGTAACTCAAGCCAAAGCATATAACCCTGGAACAAAAGAGAACCACCTGAAGCCACAGCTACACTTGTCTGGCAGTGAAGGACACTTGGGTATCCAATGCCAAGTCCTCCTTGAAACCTTGTAATATAAAATCTCTGGCCATGTGTGGCAGCAAACACAGATCATTCCCTGATGCCAGAAACAATAAACATGCTCATAGTTGTGGTAACAGACAGACATAAATTTCCTGCACATCAATTCTGGCAATCTTTCCATTTCCTCCCAGGAGTTCCCTCCGTTACCCAATTCCCACAACCTCATGCTCCTTGAAATTCCATTCCTTCCAATTCCTCCAACCAAATACAACTTCCCTTCACCAATATCGCTAACCAGCCTCACGAATGTAAGCTCCGCTGGCATTTCAGTGTTGAGTCTCTCCCATTTTCCATTTTCCAAATCAAAGCACACTACAGAAAACGGTTCCGGGGTAGCAAAATGCAAAGACCCATCGAAGGATGCGCCTTCCTGATGGAAATTGTCAATGAGGAGCGGTTGAAAACCATCATATCTTCTCCAAGAATGAACCTTTGAGTCATATACAAAAGCATAACTGGAAGAGAATTTCGAGCAAAGCATGAAGATTTTATATCCATCTGGCCTAGAAACCAAAGTGAGCAGCTCAAAAGCATAAGGGAAGAAAGGGAATTGAATAACCCTGGAAGATTTTCCCAACAGATTGCATACAAGGAAAGAACATGAATTTGGGAGGGAGAGTAAGAAAAGCCCATTAGATGATGAAAGAAGATTAAACTGAGAAGCACAAGGCGGCAAGAAAGAGAAGGGAAGAGCTAAGTTGCGCCAAGCCCCAATGATAGTGTCATAGAGAGGAAAATGACCATAGCACTGGGGATGAGAAAGCAACAAAAAGAAAGAGAAAGGAGAATCAGAGGAGTGTTTGGAAATAAAAGAAGGAGAGAATACAAGAGAATTGAAATGCTTACAAGTTGACCTCAAATTCAAGAACGTTTTAAGAGGCAAAAACGAGAGTATGTTCTCGAGAAGTTCCGGTGGAAGCTTGCTCCAGATTCCAGGATCCATGTCTGTTGAGCCTGTCAGGGATTTCAAGCTTTTTGCAATCATGGGTTGTCCTAATTTGATCTTAAGAGGAGGCTTTAAGCGGCTTGAAGTCGTCTTCTGGCCTTTAAGCTGAAACATGGGTTACTTTAAGATTAAAAAGAAACTCAAAAAAACGTGTTTTGAATTAAAAAGTCTTCGTTTGCTGCGTCAAGTATTCAAATTTCAAACCAATCTTAAGAGAAAAAAAGAAAGGAGGTTAAGGGAGAAAGTAAGAGACTGGAATTTATAAGCAGCAACAGCATTGAGCCTCCATTGACTTGTAGATTGCCGTGTTAACACGCAGGAATCCAAAAAGAAATGTTTAAAAGAATTGACTAATGATATTACTAGGTTGGGTTTGGGTTTTAGTGTGTAATCATTGCTATTTAAGCAAGTGGTGGGGATCGGGGGGCTGGGTTTAGGCCGGCTCAGCTTTTGTTTTATTCAGCTCTTTGCTGTTCAAGATCTAATCAGACCAAAAAAATGAAAAAAAAAATGATCTGAAGAACTTTTCAATGTTTTCATTGATGTGAGCATGATTAACACTGCTACCACTAAGATTATATCTTAACGAGAAAACAGAAAGGATCTAGCAAGAACATGGGAAAATAAAAAAAGAGGTTGTGATACCAATAAGGTCGTTTAATAATGAACAAAAGGGTACACGAAATCTGCAGATAACTTTACCTGCAGGACTGACTTCAATCTCTTGACCAAAACCCTTCCCAGGGTAGCAAATCTTTTGCAAGTTTTGAAGTTGTTTGCTGCCAATTTGATTGCACTCATAAGATATTATACAATTTGTAAAGAAGGCAAGAGGATTCTCGTTTCTCTCTTTCACTTCTCCCTTCCATTGTCGGAGGGTGTAATCAGTTCGTCAAAACTAGAGATGGGCTTCTGTTTCTTCTTCCTAGAAGGATCGTTTAAAAAACAAAAACGGCTTCAGACAAACCCCTCCGTTAATAAGGTTTTGGGAGGAGGTGAGTTAAAGAGAGTTTTAACGATGACATGGCAGGTGGCTGAGAGAAGGTTTGGATTTGCGGCAAAAAGTACGGCTAGAGGTATTGGAATTGGTTTTTCAAACGCACTTTAACACTCAAATTAAATTAATTAAATGTTTAAAGTTTTTTTTGGAAAAAAGAAAGTAACAGAGCCTAAAAGGCTTAGGGTTTATTTTAATTTATTTATACATGAGATGATAGACATGATATAATTAGAATTATTAGCGATTAATAAAAAATTCATGTAAAGTTAAAAAGAAAATATTATTTACAATATTTTGGTATGTGGCAAAAATTAAAAAAAAAAAAAAAACATATTTTGGTAAGCTGCAAAGGATTATCTAATTTCTCTGGTTGGAGCTTTTCATTTAAGTGCACAATCACAATCACATCAATCGTAAGTTCCTTCCTATTATATTACAACGTAATTTAAAATATCAAAATACATATGGCAACATAATTTGTTTTTTAAGGCGAAAAAAGAGTTTTTATCTAAAAAATGTCTTATTGAAAGAAAATAAAAGTGAATCAAATCAATATAATTTCTTTGATAAATTATAATTTAAAAAAATTAAATTTTATATTCTGAAAGTTTTTATTTTAATATAAAATTTCATAAAAAAAAATTAATAACTTCTTTGAAACTTATTTAAAATATATTACTAAAATATTTTATTCCCATTAATTTTGACCAAAAAATTATCAAAATTAAAAATGCAGTGATAGAATTAAAGTTTCACCTAAATAACAAAAAAACATGCTTTTCTCAAAAACAATTTTTTTTAAGTGAAAAAGCATGGGAGAGTTGAAATCAAAGATCGATTGAGAAACGATTTTGAGAGATTTACCACAAAAAAAAAAAAAGAAAGGAAAAGCGATTTTGTACTGACAGAATACAACGTGTTTTACCTTTTTAAAGGGAAACTTATTTAATTTAATTCTATTCCTAATAGGAATATGTGACCATTGAAATACCAACTCTATATATGCCTACATTGTTTTTCTTTTTTCCTTTTCACCATCCACAATCTCTTCCTTCACTTTCTTTCTTTTTGTTTTCGTTTGTTTTTTTTTTTTCAAGTCAGCCATGATTAGGGTCGAAGGCGAAATTTGTGAAGAAGCAGTGTACAGGTGGTATCATGGAGATTCAGGCATGAAAAACTCACGTGAACTTTCATTGAAAGCAAGAAAACATCTGTCTGCTATGGGATGGGAATTTTGGTACGCAAAGAAAAAAGGGAAACAGGAATTGAGGTATCAATCACCAAAAGGAAAAGTTTTCTATTCACTCAAAACGGCTTGCAAAAGTTATATCGATGAACGAAGGGAAGAAGGAAGAGTGGTGGATAGAGACTTGAAACCCAAGCAACCGGCAAAAAGAAAGAGATTGAGCCAGGAGACACCAACCCAAGCCACCAAAAAGAAGAAAAAACCGAAGAAAATTAAACGACACCGATCAAGTAAAAGAGTACGAGAGGCTCCACCTCCTAATTCATCTAATCGCAACCCTAAAACCGTTCTCTCTTGGTTGATAGATAACAATGCTGTTTCGATACTGGCAAAAGTGTATTACCGCAATAAGGCAGGGAACCCATTGATGAAAGGACGGATAACTCGTAATGGGATCCAATGTGATTGTTGTTTCAGGGTTTTTACTCTCACTGCCTTCGAGAATCATGCTGGTAGTAACAACCATAGGCCAGCTGCTAATATAATCTTGGACGATGGCAGTGGCAGGTCTCTTTCTGATTGTCAAAGGCAAGTGATCACGAGTTCCAAAGTAGAGAGCCCTAAAATTGTGAAGGACAATTCGTATCAACATGAGAGTGATGAGGTTTGCTCTGTTTGTCGCGATTGGGGAGAATTAATTTGCTGTGATCATTGCCCTTCTGCTTTCCATGTGAATTGCCTTGGCCTGAAGGAAGTTCCAGATGGAGACTGGTTTTGTCCATCATGCTGTTGTGGAATTTGTGGCATTGGATATTTAAGTGATGGTAGTTTTCTTACTTGTCAACTATGTGAGCGTAAATTTCATGTTGGCTGCCTGAGGTTGGAGGAATCAAACGACCTAAAGAATTATCAGACTCCAAAAAACTGGTTTTGCAGCCATAGATGTAAAAATATCTTATCTGGCCTGCAAAAGCTTACAGGAAAACCAATTACAGTGGGGAACAATCTCACTTGGACGTTATTGAAGTCTGAGGCCTGCTCTGATAGTGATTCTGATCATGCTCATGGCCTGGATGCTTCTGCAGAGAATGACTGTAAGTTGAGTGTTGCACTTGATGTGATGCATGAGTGTTTCGAGCCTAGTAGAGATATTTACACTGGGAGAGATCTGGTTGAAGATGTTATTTTCAGCAGAGGGTCCAAGCTGAAACGATTGGATTTCAAAGGATTCTATACTGTGATTCTGGAGAAAAATGATGATCTGGTTTCTGTGGCTACTGTGAGGGTGCATGGGGACAGGGTGGCTGAAATGCCCCTTGTTGCTACCAGGTTCAGACACCGTCGCCGTGGAATGTGTCGAGTTTTGGTGGATGAACTTGAAAAGAATCTAACTAAATTCGGGGTGGAGAAGCTGATTTTACCTGCAGTGCCTGATGCAGTCGACACATGGACTAACAGCTTTGGGTTTTCTCACATGACTGATGATGAAAGATCAGAGCTTCTGCACTATACTTTTCTAGATTTTCAAGGGACCATAATGTGCCGAAAACTGTTAAAATAGACGGATTTGTGAGACTGATATATCATATGCCTGTATTCTGATACTTTTCATATGGTTCCAGTATCGTTCCATGTATTTGCGACATGTATTATTTCTAAAATATTTTTATGTTTTTCCTCGTAAATGCTACTTCATCTATTTTACCTGATATTGCACATTTTACTCTTGGCTGTTGCCCTTGATTTAACTCACCACTGAATAGGAATCTTAATGTAATTAAGGAGACGGGATGAAGATTACTTCGACATAGTTTTGCTTATAGTTTCAGGTTTTCATTGTATGATAGCAGTTCAGTTCAACAGGTAACGGGACTTCTATAGTTGCTAAGTGGTCGCCCATTGCAAAAAGTTATGAATAAATTCCTTGATTTCCCTTTAATTATTATACCTTTGGGAGTATTTTGCTCTTAAACCTTGCACCATGGATCGAGTTCCATGTATTGTGGCCTGTGGATTCAATGGCACACCACCAGTTGTCATTTGCTTCCAAGGCAACAGCTTATCCCAAGTCTAATATGGAAAAGGAAGGAAAACGGCATTGCAGAGTTAAATATGATGACTGATAATTGTGGTGTTGCAGATGCGATGTGACAGATGATACACTTTTGTTTTAGTTATTTTGATAGCATAGCTTGTTAGCTTATCCGACATGTTGGGCTTTCCCATTTTTTTTCCCCAAATCTTCTCTCATCAATACATCCTTACTAACTGATATGTCGGTAATTTTTAAATATAAACAAAAGGAAAAAAAATTACTCATTGAATGTAATTATATGAATATATCATATCCTTTTAAAGAACAACAGACCATAAAACGGGGAAAATGATTGACAAGAAGCAAAGGAATGTGCATATACACATGCATCTAATATATACGAGAGGAAGAAAAAAGCTATAGATGGCAAGGGATATGCGGAACAAATCGATGTAGGAGCAGATTCTAATCACTCCAATTATCCTGATCTTTAGTATGCCCTTCATCCTGCATTTTCAGTGTCAACTAATTAAGTTACTGTTCATTGACAGCTTGATAAACAAATGAGATGCAGTCAAAGTAAACCAAAAAACAGATCTTCAACTTAGAATAAGTACCATATCATCTGTAATCAGTTTGCATGGAGACCAAACAAGAATTTGCCGATCACTGCCGCCTGTGTATAGTTCCTACAATAGTGAACAAATCAGTCAAAAGATACAGTAATTTATTTGCAAGACAGATGGAAAAAACATGTACATCCAAAATAGCATTTTTGGGGAATGAAAGCCATTACATATTTGCGTTTCTGACCTACCAAAATCTAATCAATAGGTGGGGATGTCATATCTCACAAATGTCTTGTCCATAATTTATAATTAAGCAGCCTTCCGAAAAAATGTAGAGGAGTTAGGTCATACCTGATCCTGTGAACTAAACCAACAACAATTCACAGATTCATAATGGCCACGAAATGTATGGGACATTTTACCAGACCAAACATCAAATGCCTAAAAAATTCAAGAAACGTTTAAGATGTAAATGTTGCCATAACAATATAATCATGAAAATGACCTCTACTCACATAAAATCAAAGACAATGATGAGATAGAAAGAATATTTTACTTTCACGACTGTCATGCATGGGACAAAAACATGAGCTGAATCTTGAGATATGGCTAACTGGATTGCCTTGCTTGTTTGTAGGCGTGCCTTTTCAAAGTTTACAAGGGTATTGTAACCAGATTCAAGATCCCACAACTTTATTCTTGAATCAGAACCTGAAATCGAAAGAAAAAGAGATAGAAAGAGAGAGAAGGATCATTACTGTGTAATTTGAAAAGATGATTACCTAAGTATACTGTATGAGAAATAAAAAACTCTCACAAAAAATTAAGAAAATATCAGCCAAGGCTTTCACATATAGTTTGCTAGGTAATCACAGTGGACTATATAAAACCTTTAACAGTCAAAGTGATCTAACTAAGCCTTGAACCAGTTAATATTGCACTAGATACTAATTTCCTTCCAGCAAGTGTGCATCATAGAGAGTATTATTCACTATTGTATTCAATTTTCTGCCAGTGCATGTACGTAGTCACTTAAATGACACCTTGTAACAATTTAGAAGCTACCACAGATTCCCCAATAACACATATTGAACACCATCAACTACTATGAACCAGCTATAGCAAGAACTAACTGCTGAGGAAATGGTCAAAACTCAACCTGCACTTAGAAGGTACATGCCATCTTCGGTTACTTTCAAACCAGTAACAGCACCATAATGAGCAGTGGCACGATCCTGAATGGACAGCATCCCAGGGTGTAGTCTTTGCCTTGCAGAACCTTTAGCTGGCATTCGACCAATGGTTGACTGCTTTATGCCATGCCCGTTGGTATATTTCTTTTGTGGCGCTCGTGATTTTACCAACGAGCTCTGGCCAGTTGACAGTGGCTTTGAGACTGAAACCTGAGAGGGTACCCAAGAAAAAAAGACAAATTCATGAGATAAGAGAAAGAGTTTTACATTATATAATAAATATCAAGCTACTAAATCTAATTATTGTCATGAAGAGCTATTTAAGAAAAAAAGTTAGTGGATCAAGAGAAAGAGCAGGTAGGACAAAAAAACCACAAAACTAGATTTAGTATTTGTTGAGGTTGGTGGTTTCTATGTTTGGTACCCGGACAATGGTTATACAGCATTGTCAAAATTTTCTTAAACTTATCTATTCTGTTATAAGCATTCACAGAGAACAAAGAAACATAAAATGATTATCCCTTGATACACAAATCAGGGAGGGCTTACAGCATAATAGTACAGGAAAAGGTTTACTAGAATTGTTATTGTTCCTTAGTATCAAATGCAGAAGGATGGGATTAAAAAGATCGGTTCTCCATATTTGGAAAAAAGGAAGACTACTTCCACAACTATCTGCAAAAAATTCTAAATATTAACAGCAAAAAGAAATTTATGATTTTGAAACCAGTTTGCAATATTAGGAGCAATAATAAAGGGGTAAGTGAGGGTAGTGCAACAAACCCAAGCTTATAACAAGCATACCTTATTTGCAGCTGAATGATCCAAGACAGGTGGACGTCTTCCAAGCTGAGACTGGGACTGATCCAAAACAAGAAAACATCCAGCACGTCTAATGTCCCAAAAACGAATTGCACCGTCACACCCACCTGTTATCAAGACCCACTCACTGGAAGTAGACCATTCCACTGTCATCACGCCATCTGCCACAGCAAAATTCAAACAAGACTTATCATTTCAAGTTAACAGTTTCCCCTACAAAATAACTCATTTTCCATGAGTAAAAGGTGAATAGAAGAGAATCAAAATGGTAGAACCGCAAGCTTTATCAGGTCATGGTCCAATAATGGAATGATCAAATCATGAAATCCATTTACCAGTCAAGGAAAGAACACATTATCTACCCTAAATTAATTTCCAAAAAGTGATCTTTTGAAATGTAAGCATACCCCTTACCCCACCTAAATATTAAAAGAAGAAAAAGAAAACACACTAAAATCTGTTGTCCATAGCAGCCAACTGCAGTTAGAAAGAAGAATTCATACTTTTAGGTGGCAGAGACCAAAATAAAAGTTAAAGAGTAAAAGAAGAGATCTCTGGCTGCAGGGCTGGTCCAAAATCAGGATAGGCTGCTACACACGCATAACATCATAGTCCTGCAGCCAAAGAACCTATACGTTAGACAACTTCTTGTCTAACTCCAGCTAAGACAAGAATATATTGATTGCAATGGACCTGAAAGACAAGACTATGATTGGAGAAGTTTTTCTTTTATTTCAACAATTCACTGTAATTCCAGGTATATTATAAGCCATGTAAGCCAGATGTCACATGCAGCATATCCAGAGAACCCATAAAAAATGTAACCTTAATTTCATAAAAATTTGTACAGGATGTAATGTATGAGTACAAGTTCCACATGAAAAACTGTTAACAATCAATTATTGCCAATCAATTAGGAGCAAAAAAAGGAAATGGAATAATTCCCTCAAACTTTCAGCATACCACGGTGGCCAGACAAAGTATGAGCAAATGCCCCCGAAGCAATATCACAAAGGCGAACTTGCACGTCTTCAGTTCCAGCAGCAATTAACATATGAGATGTTGCCAATGTAGACATAGCAGTCCTATAAACCTTTCCGGGCATTTTAAAGTTCATCACCACCTACAACATACCATAACAATCGAACCAGATTAAAAATAAAAAATAAAGAAAAAAACGAATTCATTCTCACAATCCAAACATAACAAAGCAAGCAACACACCTTAGTCGTATTCGTGTCCCAAACTTTGATATTATGATCATAAGAACCCGTTATGAATAGTCCCGTGTCAACAGGATACCAAATGGCCGATGAAATGGCATATTTATGTCCCTTTTCGTGTTGCTTATCGACCGAAACTATAGATTTATGTTTGGCAATTAAACCATTTCCTTCATAATTAGTTGCCCTTTGAATGTCATAAATAGCAGCTGATGCATCAGATGCACCCGACAACAAATATCTTCCCTCAGTCAAATCCACCTAATTTACATGATAACCCAAACGTGGCCTTAAGTTTCAATTAAAAAAGAAATAGATTTTGATAATCTTAAAGAAAGCTTGTAATTGTAAGAATTGTAGAGTTAAAAGAGAGTACCTGAAGGGAGTTGATGGAGCCTCTGTGAGAAGAAACGATGTCTTTGTAATTGGTTAGTTGGAGATTGGAAATCCGATTGAATTTGATCCGACTTGAAAAGGACTTCGGGCGGATTTTACCCGCTTCTCTATCTCTAATTTCCTTCCACATTTTCCTAGCATCTCTTCAAAAATTTTTCTCTCTGTTTCTTCCCTTTTTGTTTTCCCGTCACAGCCTTTCTCAGTTTCAACTTGAACGTTGATATTAAATATGAAAAAAAGACAAACCCCAAAGTAGACAAATTCGTTCTTTGGCAGTTACCTTCCCTTCCTTGGAGTTTCTGACTTGTCTGAATCAGTCCCTTCCCCTGCTTTCCAAAGCTTCGTCTAGTATTATAGGATAAAATAAATGGAAAGGGGGCAGTCCACATTCTTCAGTGGATGGGCCTGTTGGGTGTTATGGGACCATGGGTAATGGGTTTTGGGTTCCACTTGAAGACCTATGAAGTTGGACCATCAACCATGGGACTATGAGCCCAAAAAACTATGTTCATGGCGTGGATTGAATTAGGTCATTAGCTGTCGGATGAGGAAGGTCAGTACTTTAATCTCTGCTGTGACTTGGTTGGTATTAAAGCTTAAGATTACCTTTGCCAACAGTACTACTGAAAATGTCAAGCCAATGGATTTGTCCCAATGTCCCCTTCAATTAGTTCTTTAAAAATCAAGTGTCATGGAGTCAACCGAGAGGTTGGAGGGCTACAATTAAGTCACCAGCAAATGAAGTTTCTATATGTTCTAGGTACATATATTCATTAAAATTCTAGCAACCTATTTAAGTATATCTGGTGGGAAAATGGAAAAATATTTGGGAAGTGGTGGGGGAGGAGAGGGGCCGGGTCGGGGGAGACTGGGAATCCTTTCCTACAAAAGCTGTAAAAAAAAGGAAACGGGGAATGAAGTCTGAGCTCAGCACGTGAGAGATTTTTTTTGATACATATAAACATGTGCCTATATATATAAAACGACAATAAAAGATGCAAGACACCAGCCCTTGCATGCTTTGCTTTGCTTTCCTTTTCTTTCCTCTGATTCTCAACAGTACTGTACTATAGAATCCGATGACATGAGAAAGAAAAGGTCCTGTATATCACGTGATGTCTTTTTCTCCTGTACAATTAGTGATACTCGATCCCTTTGGCCTTTATGCATGACCTGTCGCCTTTCCATTCCCCAACTTTATAACTTCAATACGGTTTGGTTCATCATCCCACCATGCATGCATGTCTTGGACCCTTTTGCCTTTCGGATTCTTCCCTAAAAGAAACACGGCAAATTATGACAATAAGCCATAAGGACACTGATTGCTTTTGTATTACAGTAGCATAAGTTTGTGAAATTTCACTACTGATAATACCTTCCATGCTTATACCAGTGAAAGTGAAATTAACAGCAATTCATCAAAAAATTACTACTCTTTAAGCTTAATTTGTTCAGATGCATAGGTAGAAACCAGATTTTTTACATAAATTGTGAAGATAATGGGGAAAATAAGAATTAATCATGCTTTTAATTATGTTCATTTGGTTAAAGATTCAATGGAAGTGGAACTACACCTAATTTGATATAATTTTTCTTTGGAAATCAACTATTGCTGAGATATCTATAGCTTGTAAATCAAAACAGAAGCGATTATTAATGGGAGAATATAAGAGTCAAGAGAGATAATATGGTATCTTACACAATCATTAGTCTTAGACCATTTTCCTTAGATGAAGAGTTAACTTTCGCCACCCAGTGAAGAATAAAGATGAGCTTCTGGTTCTTGGGTTTTGCTTAAAATTCAAGTTCTGATCATTATCACCACTGCCTCCTGAATCCTGATAGGCTACCTTGAAACCCCATTTTCCTCTTTTTGAAATTACTTCTTGAACCACTAACCTCCATATGTTTAATAGTTATTATGACAAAAGTTTAGGTGATAATCACATTCAAACTATCCATCAAATTTTCAAAGAGGCATGAGAGCAATTATTTGAGATCACTTACTTTGAAATTGATGAGAAACAGGTTCTTCCTGTTCGATTAAGTTTGAATATATATCAATGGGAATTCATTGACTTTGAGGAGACATTGGAGGGTGATCAAATAAGTGAAATTCTGGTAGCTTTTCTCTCAACGCTAAAGCCTAAAGGATTAAAAAAGTTAAAGGGACCAGAAAGCAGACATAAATCCGCTAATTATGTTGCTTGATATTTGGATCTTTCGGTTGTAGTTCGATTCTTCTTGAGCACTGTGCACGTGTGACCGTCACTAGAACTAGGAGTAAAAAAGTAGGGAGTTAGGATTACAAAAATGTCTTGAGGAAGGAAAATCAGTCAATAAAGCTTCTGTCTAATGATGTTACCATGATGTGCTGTTCTCTTTTTTTTTTATGATTAAAACTTTGTCAAAGCTGTATCTTTGTCCATTGGGAAACATAAAATAATTCACTGAAAAAGGAAGAAGAAAAAACTGATATTCAATTCAAATGTTAATCTTAAGCAATATTCAATTAAACAATGAACTTGATTTTTGTTCCTATCTGTACTGCCCTTTGTAAAATAGAAGTATGTAGCTTTGGATTCACTTTATCTTTTACTCTTTCTTTCTTTTTTTTTTTTCAAATTATGAGTTATAACCATCTCTTAAACATGACAACTTCTAGACAAAGACCCATTGCATGATGCAATTATGGGGAAATTAATTCTGTTGGAGTTTCCTCAAATTGTGATGGGAATTTTAAATGGGAAATGCCAGTTGGAACCATAAATTGATTATAGGAAGGAAGCCCAACTCTGCCAAGTTCTCATCAGTTCCCTTCTGCCATTGTCAAACTTTGCTGTTGCATTTATTTGAATTCAAAGTTGATTTTGCTTTTCCTACTTCTGGGCCCCTAATTTAAAATGCATAAAATGTACCTTTCCTTTTATATTGTTTTTTGGTCTGAATTCTTTCATTCCTCTTACTCTTTCCAACTTCTCTATCAGTGTTGATCATACATTATACACCTTAGTTTTTATAAATTTTTTCCATTTTCAGCCTTCTCTACCTAATGTACTTCTTTAATACTTCGAACAAAAATTCATCATATGTTAGTTATATGCATGGGAAGTGAAAAAACCAATTTGGGTAGCTTTTATCTCCTACACATTGTTATCTTTCTAGGCAATTTTCTAGCTTAGATAATTATCTTTTCATCAGAAATTTTATCTTTGCTTTTAGTTATTTTAATCCAATTATGAGGATTAGGCCATTAATTTTTATCAACTAGTAGTTTATTACTTTTTCTTTTGAAGGGATTTAATAATATGGAGCTCCCTTTAGTATGAAAAAATTCTTAATAAAAAACAAGTTCACTTGGAAAAAAAATTTTTTCTGTCTTTTCTCTAGTAGGCATTATTTTTTACTGAGGGATAAAAAGATTTTAAACTCTACTTAATACATGCATTCCCTGGATTGATTTCAACAAGTTCATGTATGTCAGATCTAATCAATTATAAAAAATCATATTTTCATACACGAAATAAAAAAAAAAATCATCCGCTTTGCGTAAAAAATTCCATTAATTCTCTACTACTTGTCATCAGAGCTATAAGATGCGGCAAAAGCCTATGAAGTTGGATTTTAGGAAAAATAATGGCAGAGACTAGTAGACTAGTACTGTAACTTTGTTCCAAGCTAGCAGTAGTATAATTGTATAAATTTCGGATAGAAATTGGGGGAAATTTGAAATACAAAACAACTTTTTTTTATTCACATCGAGTTGTATCAATCCAACCAATAATGGTTTGGACCAAGAGTCTCTCTCTTCTCCCTAAATTTTTGCAACAAATGTAGGGAAATAGGGCAGCCCGGAGGGCAGTTTTGGGGTGCAAAACCGTGCAATGGTGGCGTCTCTAAATCAGAGAGAGAAAGGATTGATATAAAATTCCCAAAACTTGAAAAAAAAAAAACAAAAAATATGACATGGAAAGAATCTATGTGTATATCTGTTGAGACCCCGGCTCTGCAAACCAACTTTGCCTTGCCCCCGTACTTCCACTTCACACATGCAAAAGAAAAAACTATTTTATATTAATTAAATTAAGCAAAACAACAAATGCCCATGTCTCAATCAGATCTCTAAAACCATTTCATTGTTTATTTTTCAAGTATTTGGTTTCAGTTGTCACCAACTATTTTTTCGTTTTTGAAGAGAAAGTGGTGAAACGAAATGAAACAAACCCGGAAAACAGAGAAACAGGAATTTTTTTCTGAGAAGTAGCTTTCATGGTGTGAACGACTTCTGCCAGGGTCACGGTTTTTTTTTCCTGGGTTTTCGGTAAGTCCAAAGCTCTGCTCTTTTCGTTTGTCTCGCCCTTTTCATTTCTTGTGAACTTTGTTCTTGTTCTCTTTAAATTCGCCTTGCCTTCTTGTTATTGTTGTTTTCTATAACTTACTCTTTGTCCCCCCAAAGATTTTGCCTTTTTATTTTTTTTCTTTTGAGCTCTGAGAGATTGTTGCTATAATCGGTACTTGGTTGTTGATTTCCATTTCTTTTGTTTTTTTAAATATCCGTAACTGTTTTATTATTGATTTCCATAACGGTTTAACTTGCAATTCCATTATTTTTTTTTTGCTTACAAAAACAATAAAATTGTGATGTTTCAAATTCTTTTTTTTTTTTTTGACAACCAAATTGTAGGCTATTGTTTCTTTGGAGAAGATGTTGTGTGCTTGCTCAGGTGAACAATTCAAGTTTGAAGATGCTCCGCAGTCGCCGGATTCATTGGCAACCAGAGATTTCTCAGCCAGTGGACTCTCATCTCGGACCGGAGACTGGGAACCAAAAGTTGAGGATGCTCAAGTGGAAGAAGTTGAATCCACTCTCAAAGAAGCTCTCTCCTTAAACTATGAGGTGGGTTAATTCTTTTTGCCAAACCAATCTATTCATTTATTGATCATTTGAAAGCTCATTAGTTTTGTTTTTTTGAATGAGTTTGCAGGAAGCAAGGGCATTGTTGGGGAGGCTAGAGTATCAAAGAGGGAACTTTGATGCTGCGCTTCAGGTTTTTCAGGGTATTGACATTAAAGGTTTGACGCCAAGGATGACTAGGGCTATTGTTGAGAGAACCCGGCAACGAAAACCACGATCCAAAGGTGACATTATCCCTCCTAGTGTGATGTCGTTGCATTCAGTGAGCTTACTTCTGGAAGCAATTCTATTGAAAGCAAAATCGTTGGAGGAACTTGGGCATTTCAGAGGTATTTTAGTTTTCTCCCTGCAGGAACTTATTAATAGGTTTGCTTCACAATTGACAAGAAATTATTCTGTAGTTTTTCTTAATTTAGTTTTAGAGGTAACTGATCTTATAAATCTCTGATTCCTATATGAAGAAACTTTTTAATTTAGTTTGATTGTAACGACGAGACTTTAATTAATGGATGGTTCAAATTGATTGAAAATTCAAGTTTTATTATTGATGATCCGGGATTTTATAAATGACATTGCACTTGTTGGATCATTTAGATTTACTATAAATTCTGTTATTAGAGTGTAAGGTTTGAATGGTTCTGTTGTTTTTTTTTCATTTATCAGAGGCTGCAAAGGAGTGCATAATAATTTTGGATGTAGTTGAGTCAGCATTACCTAGTGGAATGCATGAGGGAATTGCCGAAGGTTGCAAGTTACAGGAGATGTTTCACAAAGCAATAGAGTTGCTCCCTAATCTGTGGACAAAGGCAGGCTTTCTCAGTGAAGCTATAACTGCATATCGCCGGGCTTTAGTCAAGCCATGGAATTTGGATCCCCTGAGGTTAGCAAGTGTACAGAAAGACTTAGCTGCTACATTACTTTATGGTGGTGTTGAAACAAGCCTCCCTTCTAACTTACAGGTTTGGGGCTCAACTACCCCTAATGGTAATATAGAGGAAGCAATTCTTCTCCTCCTAGTACTTATGCAAAAAGTAGCCTATGGAGAAATAAAGTGGGATGCAGATATTATGGATTATCTGACTTTTGCTCTCTCAGTTAGTGGGCAGTTTGAATTATTAGCTGGTCATGTGGAGCTGGCCCTTCCGGGTATATATGAAAGAGCTGAGAGGTGGTACCTTCTTGCTCTTTGTTATGCTGCTGCTGATCAGAATGATGTAGCATTGAACTTACTGAAGAAGGTCTCTGGCCAGTCAGAAGCAAAGCACAAACCTCATATCCCTGCTTTACTGTTTGGTGCAAAGTTATCTTCTCAAGATCCAAAGCATGCTCAATATGGAATAACTTTCGCTCGTAATGTGATTGATTTGGCAGATCAAGTGAATGAACATTTCAAGGGTCAAGCCCATAAGTTCCTTGGTGTTTGCTATGGGAATGCTGCTAGAATTTCCATATCAGATTCTGAAAGAGCTCTCTTTCAGAAAGAATCTTTGACCTCTCTTAATTCTGCTGCTCTCAACATGAAGGAAGATCCTGAAGTGATGTTTAACCTCAGTTTGGAAAATGCAGTTCAGAGGAATTTGGATTTGGCCTTTGACAATGCAATGTCATACTCTAACATGGTGACTGAAAGCTCAAAAAGAGGTTGGAGGCTATTAGCACTAATACTTTCTGCAGACCAGCGGCTCAAAGATGCTGAAACCATACTTGAGTTGGCTTTGGATGAAGCTGGTACGTTGGATCATTTAGAACTTCTTAGATTAAAAGCTGTGCTTCAGATTGCTCAGGAACGGCCCAAGCAAGCAATTGAAACCTACCGAATTTTGCTATCTCTGATTCAAGCCCAAAGAGAACCGCAGTCTAATAACTCTGAGAATGCAAAGAGTTCTGATTCAGAGGTATGAGTTCTTTGGCCTTAAACAGCAGCATGGACCTACATCTCATGTATTTGCAGATTATTCTTGTAATTAACTTAAAATACATGCTAATTTTACAATCTTTTGTCCATGAGATAAGTTCATTGCTTTCTCTTTTTCAGTGAGAGAAAAAAGAGAAACCCTACGTTTGGGGTAAAAGAAAAGCAAAATGGTTTTCACCCTGTTCATATCTTATGTCTTTTGCAGAATATAGCGGAAAGAAATATGGAAATGGCCGCCTGGCAGGATCTAGCAAGTATTTATACAAAACTTGGTTCGTGGCTTGATGCAGAAATTTGTTTAAACAAAGCCAAGTCAGTTGAATTTTATTCACCCAAAAGTTGGCATACAACAGGTACGAATTCCATCAATCCATGAATGCTTGTTATAAAGCCAACAATGCACTTCCATTTTAATTTCCAAGTTGTCTTTGCAGGATTGTTATTTGAAGCCCAATCACTTTATAAGGAGGCCCTGGTATCCTTCTCGGTGTCACTGTCAATAGAACCAGATTATGTGCCCAGTATTGTTTCAACTGCGGCAGTGCTTATACAACTTGGCGGTCAATCACTCCCAATTGCAAGAAGCTTTCTAATGAATGCTCTTCGGTTAGATCCTACAAATCATGATGCATGGATGAACCTTGGATTGATTGCAAAAATGGAAGGCTTATCACAACAAGCAGCAGACTATTTTCAAGCAGCTTATGAGTTGAAGATGTCAGCTCCTGTTGAAGCTTTTACATGATGGTGGAATTTGATTATTTAGCTGGTAGGCAATATCAAAGAATAAGGTTTATCTTATCCATCATCTATGATAGTCAATTTTACTGATTCTACTCACCGTTATTTAGCAACGATGTCCTATTCAAATGTACAGCAAGCTCCCTGTTCGTACCTTCGATTTTTCTGTTAATATCAAATTTTGATTGTTTTTCTACATGAAAGAAAATATCAAGTTTTCAAAGTGCAAAATAAGAAAGAAAGAAAACCCACAGATTTAAGAAAATGCTGCAAGAAATATTTACCAATTTTGTTCCCAAGCAGTTTTGGCTGAATAAGACTGAGAAAAACCTCAACCCATATTCCACTGCAACAAAATCACCAACCAACAAAAGGGTCAAATATGTAAATTGGTACTCTCCAAAAAGCATGGAAATGATCCCCGAAGGAAATTACCAGAGCGCGCCAGGGCCAAGAGCAGCATGGCACGAGATTGGAGGGCAAAGGCATCATTAGAGGAAAGATCATGCCTCAATAAGATGGAGTGAAACACCCAATCCTCCCCCCTCCCCCCGTTAACAGGCAGATTTTATTTTAATAAAAAAACATAAATGTTGAAGCTACATAAGCATATTAGTTACAAAAAACTTCAAAACAGGTTGGCCTTTTTTAGAATTTGCGGATTGCTTTGCAGCCCCTTCTATCTGTGCACGTGCAGCTCTTCCAGCAGCTGATTTTTCGAACTGCTCCTGCCAGCGATTTTGATCGATGATTTAAATGTTTAAAAAGCTTCCATAAACAAACTGTTACGAAGTATCCCAATACTCCGAAGAATAGTCCAGGTTCTTTCACAACTACATCAGAGGAATAAATTAGCTGGCTCAAAAAAAGAAGGATAAAATAGGTGTTAAATAGTCTTCTTTTTTTCATTTTTTCAAATTTCCCTGTCATTAATAGTGGCTGATAAGTTGGTTTGAATCCATTTGTTGCAGTTATTTGATTTACGTTTTAAGCTATGTTGTGTTCCTCTTATTTCCTTTGAATGCAGGAATAGAGATACTGCCGCACATTTCGAAAGATAAATGCTGATTGGTCTACGAGACTGTACATCGCACCCCTCCCCCCATTCTTGTACAGGCAGTTGATGGTTTGATGCTTTAGCCATTATCATGGTGACCTAATGAACCAAACTGAATGTCGTGGACCAAAGAACTACTTCCCAAAGTTAAGACTCATTAGTTATTTTACCCCCTTTGGATTTTGTTTTCGGTTTTATTCTTATTATATATATTTATTTTAAATCTATTCTTATTTTATATATTATGTCCACTAAAGTTAATTATACTAGAAGAAGGATTTTAGGTTTTGGGCTAAACACCAAAATTATCGATGAACAATGTTGGGCCATGCTTTTTCCCTACAACAAAAGCTACCCAGTCTAAATCGTTTTTTATTTGTTTTATGCAATCATCCAAATTGATATTTAAATTTAAATTTTAAATCTTAATATTTTACATTTTTCATTTTTAAATTACTGTTTTTTTTTTAAATTCCCAAGAAAAATAAAGATTTGGCTGATTTAGCCAGCTTTATTCATGTTTACTCCAAATCTCAGATAAAATATCTATTAATCCGTAATCTTATAATAAAATATCAGCAATGTTTAATATGAGATGATTATTTAAAAAATTATGATAATTTATATAAGAAATTAGAACATCATATTTGATAATCTTTTAATGGTCTTATGTATTGATGATTTTAGATCATCAAAAAATTAAAATAGTATAGCGGAGAGTAATTTAATTCTTATTCAAAAAATAAAATAATTTCAATAATTAAAATACTATGATGATTTTAAAAATAATAGCAAATGCTATCTTGTTACTTAAACTTCTCAATTAGGTCTTAAATCTCTTCAAAATTGTTAAAATAATGCCCTTGCTAGTGATTAAACTAAAATGCAACTGCTGACAAGTCAAAATAATGAGATAAACATACACCGTTAATGGAATTTTTTAATGAATGTATTATTAACTTGTAAAATATTTAAAGAGATTTAGGGTTTAAATTAAGAGGTTATGGATCAAAACAAAATTATATCACATTGGTCAAACCTAACCTTATATTAAAACTAGGGAAATATACTGAAAGTTTTAAATTTTGACATTTTTTTTTCCATAGAATTCCTTCATTTTTTTAAAAATTGTTATGCATGTGATAAAAAAATATTATATAGAACATAGTAGCAGGTCATTTCTAAGCCTTTGATAACTGGAACATTAAAAGCAAGTTACCTTAAGAGAAGTATTTGAATGAATCATTCTGTTGTTATATATCTAGATCAAGGCAAGAAACTTGAAGATGCTCTGAATGAATCCTTTGCAAGATGTTTTACATTAAAATATTGAAAACCAACATTTGGAATTCCCATAATCAAGTTTCACGACTAAGAAAATGTCATAAAAAGCAACCTGAATTGGAATTCAGCTTACAGACGAGAATTTACACTGTTGAACATGTCAGAGTGGATGAATTCTTCAGTCCAACCCAAAAAGAAACTTCATATTTACATTTATTAACACAAAAAGAAGAAAAATCAATTAAAAAAAAACAAAAAAGATGATCAGATAATCTTCTTGATCAGCTTTTCCTATGGTGATCATGAACCGGGGATGACTTGTCTCGGACAGCTCCGGATTTGTTTTCACTCAACTCTCTGACATAATCTTTCTTCTTCATTGATCTTCTCACCTTATTGGAACTCTCTCCTTGTATTATAGGAACTATGTACCATCCAATACTAGTAAAGAGTATTGAAACTGATCTTCCGAAAAACAGCAATAGCAACAATATAAAGACCAGAAATGCTGGTAAATAGTAAGAAGGTTGCCTCCATTTATGGAACGCCATATTCCATGAAAAGCTTTTTTTCTTCTTCTCAGTCTTTTCATTAACTGATCGTAATTCTGATATCTTCTTGATTACTTCTTTCTCTTCAATTAAGGTTTCGATTGGTCGCTTACCCTGGACTTCTGAATCAGCATTCGTTACAGGCTGAGGAGCTTTGGCATCAACAAATTTCTCTTTCTTTTCTTCTTTCTTGTCCTTGAGCTTTACCACGATTGGGACACAATCTGTCGAGTTCTTGTACATAAAACGAACGAATGATATATCTTGTGAACCTGTTTGTGAGTAAATCTTTTGTCTCTTCTCTTCAAGTTCAGCTAAGAGAGCAGAAAACTTGTCAAGGCCATTATTCGAATAAGGGTTCTTGTAATCCTTGCTATGGCTCTTACAAAAGCTGTTTCTTCTTGATTTTCTTGGTGTAGAATTACGGCTGCTCAAAAGCTTGTGATCATCTTCTTCTTGGTGATTGAAAGCACCACAGATAAAAGGCTGAAACATCTGAAAGTGAGTTATGGAGAAAAATGTTTTCAGGACTTTGGATTTGGTTTGTTTTGCTTGAAACAGAGAAACGGAGACCCACAGTACTTAACAAAGAGTCTTCTGACAAATAAAAAACAACCTTGTCAAATTTAATGATTTGAAAAAAAACCAAGAAACTCCTCCAAGTAATAGAAGTTTCCTCTTGGAGACCATGGATGTTAAGAAAAAGTTTACAGTCATAAATTATTGATAAAAGTCAAAGTTTTAAAATACGTTTTCTCGGAGATGAGGGCTTGAGACTGTATTGGATTAATCTTGAACTTATCGTCAAAAGAATGATGCAATGATAATGGCATTATTGTATAATATAAAATCCATATGTAATTATTAAGTAAAAGCTTTCTAGATGAAATACCCAAGCAGTAGGTTGACAGTTGAAAGGCTTCGTGAATTAGTTGGCTAGGTTGAAATTTTGGACAGGGAAAACATCCACCACCACCTGGGGAAAACAAATGAAATGAAAAGAAAAGACAGGACAAGAATCGTGTGCTCACCGGTTTATTGCATGAGAAAACCAGCTCTCAAAATTCCGTCTAATTGAAGTTTCTTAAATTTTCTTTATATCCTCTGGATCTACAATCTTAATAAACTTGAGATTAACAAGTCCAAATTCATAAAAATATACATAAACTTGAACAAAAATGGGAAGGCGTAGGCAACTAGGATCCCGTTGTCTCACCAAAAAGCACTATCAGTCTTTATCATCAAAATTTTCATCATCCTTCATGTACTTCTCTTGCACTGCTGCAGCTGTGAACTGATTCGTTAAGAGAAACTTAGAAAAAACCATCAATAAGTTGACACGTTAACAACTTCTGTAGAGTTAGAATTTATCTCAGGTCCAAAAACTTCAAGGTATTAATTTCATAGTAAATGTTAGGTAGATTCTTGCATGGTACATGAATTAGAGCATACATATACTAAGATAAAAGGATATCTGTAATAATCCCAATCAACTTGTCGTACTGCAATCTTGCTGAATTCAACTGCACTGGCATCTATACCAGCAAATATGTATCCATTGCTCTTGTCAATAAGCTTCACAAGATTACCAACACTCTCTTTATCCTAAAAGGAGAAACCGCTTAACAACACACCTATATAAAACTATAAAATGAAGTGAAGAAGAATGATACAACTCGAGAAAGCTACAGTTACTGGCATGCCTGAATATCCAAGGTTGTGAAATTGACAAGACTAAAGTCTTCGATTACTTCACAGAGCTCCTTTGTAAGTTTTCTGAAAGAAGAATTCAGATGATTGAGGAGAGCTCAAAAATTGGGTGGAAGCTAGGATTTAGGGCAAATATAATTACACCAACTAACCTAATTATGACAACTAAGATTTCATGACAAGCAATTATGGTTACATCTCATAGTAGCTTATCAATGTCAGCCCTTGAAAAATCCAAACTTTTATGCAATATTATCTCCCCAATGCTATACATATTAGCATCCAAATGTAAAATTGAGGATACGTAAATGAATCCTAGTCCTGATCAATACATGAATGGATAGAAGTTTAAACTCATAACCAAAACCTCTTAACATGTAAAATCATCAAACATAGAAAACTTAATGTCTTATGCATAGTGAAGAATGCAAAAATAACGGCTGCCATAACAAACCTATACTTAGCAGAGCGGGGATCCTGGTCAAGATGGTGATGTAAATATGATAAATCTTGCACATCTGTGTAGAAATCCAGATTGAAAGCTAACAAACATCCAGGTAAGATGATTAACCATGAATACTAGCACTTTCAGGCTTGTAATATAATTGATACTTCACACTCACCCAGCTTTCCATAGCTCTCAATTAGGTCGATCTTAGACAAGACATTGATGTGTGGCAGCTCCAAGTGCAACATGGTAGATAATGAGAGAAGCAAAGCACTAACATACTTCCCAGGGTCACTGCATAGGTGGGCATCAACTAAATGTACAGCAGTCAACTGCATTAATAAATAACTCACTCACTTTTCTCCAATCATAACATCAGGATAACAAGCTGAAATGACCTTTAGAGTTAGCACCCCATGAAGATAAAAAACAAACCATACCCTAAGGTTCAACTTTTTAATAAGCTTCATGACAACATTCTTGGTATTTGAGTGAAGGAAAAATAGTTCAACCTGGCCGGGAAAATCAAAAAGAAGATAGTGATCTGCAAATTATAAAAATCGTTAGAAATTTAACTTTAATAAGTACAATAGCCTACAAATCCATGCAAAATAACAGGGTGCAGTGAAGAAATAAAAAGATACATCAACCAATAACTTCATTATACCTACTTTCACTAGATTTCAAATAGTTTCTTTCCCCAAACAAGACATCAATTATCTAGTCACACAAAGATAAAAATGCACATGATAGTCCAATATAGAAACTCTAATAGTTAAGCATTGATATGTGTTAGTGTTTGGTTCCTTTCTACTGTTGGTTTCTAGAGAAAGTAAAAACCACAAACACAGAAATGCAAAAAATTTGACTGTTCAATCATGCTTGAGGCTCCCCATCAAAGACAAGCTCAAATCCTCCGGCGTGCATCAACACCCATCTGCAAATCCCCTTGAGAAAGCTGTACAGTTTTTATAACTAGATGCATGCTATTATTGATCAAACAAAATCAACATAAGAGCATAAACTTTTGAGAAGAAGAAAAGAAAGAAGGATACCAACCTTTCAAAAGAGGTTCCAGTTTTGACTGCAACCAATCAACATTCTTCTCTAAATAATCCATACAATAGACAAGACCTGGTTGCACACAAAAAATATATACATTAGATACCACCGGACAACCAAACCAGAAGTAGAACCATAATGAGCATAAACACAACTCATGCACTTCAAACTCATACTGTATCTCACAACAAACCAGTAAATACAGCATAGTGCATAGTCACTTAGATCTTTAAGAAAATATTAACACAATCAGCATCTAAGGTTATGATCCACAGAATTTCTTCAGGCTGTTCAACAGAGAATCTATAAAAGGCAGGACAAATATTAATACATCAATCCCTTCTGTGGATGCCACATGCCTTGATTTACTCATTTTCTGATTTATCTGATCCAAATCCCGAATCATTTAAATACAGTAATAGACAAAAAGAAAGCAGTGCCAGTAACAAAGAAAAAAAGGGTGCACCTCCATTAGGCCCCAAAGAATGTTCTGTCATCACATCACTTAGTTTTATGAGATCCTCAATGTTGACAGCACACTCATAACTATATTCATGTCAAGGAAAGTTCATATTAATCAAACTTTCAGGACAAGGAAAACAACATTACAAATAACTTCCAATGAGAAGGATACGGTAATGAATCATTGGCTGGATCCAAATTGATTACAGCAACCTTTCTGCATGAATAAAGGCATGGGAACAGTCAACTTCTGCAACATCTAATAATCTATCTAAGATGTGAGCATGAGCAAATGAAGAAACTAGAAGCGAGAACTAGAAACAACCTTCCAATAAATTTGAGGAACTGAGACATGCCATTGCAGTAAGTAGTCTTTCCTGACCCAGGTGGGCCAATCACAACTTGCCCAAACACCATCCGATTTCTCTCTATAAATATTTATATTTGTATTGAAAAAAATTCCAAGTCAAGGGTACCTTCAAGAAGAGGTAGCTAATTTCAGCAATGCAAACCAGGAAACTGCAAAACCCCAGTGTGTATTTGGAACCATACAAAATAAACAGAATTATTGTTCTTAAAATGAATGTGTATTGAAAAAATTTTGTAGCAAACACTTTTGCAAAAGGCTAAACTTTTCCAAACGGTAAATCTTTCCAATATATTATATACCCAAATTGGAATCGAATGGAAAAAGCACAAACAATCTGATTATGCCAAATTTGTTTACTCAAACTAAACATGCTCTAAAAAAAAAAAAAATTTACCTGGTCTAGATGGTTGTTGAAGCTTTTTTCACTTTAGTCCAGATAAAGAGAGTTTCCAAGTTGAAAGTTGGTGCTTCTGTTTGCGACAAGTTACAGTTGAGGGTTTTGGGTTTAACTGTTTAACATAGATAGACACGATGAACTAGCGTTGACAACGTTGCACGGTGATAGCCAATCGGGGCAATAAAAAATTGATCCAATTGAACATGGGGCGCTCCGAGAATCGAACTCGGGACCTCTCGCACCCAAAGCGAGAATCATACCACTAGACCAAGCGCCCACTTGGATTTATGGTGGGAAAAATGATTCTAATATCATTGCATTTTCCAGATCAGTCAATCATTTAACGTTCTGCCATTGCAACGAGGCGAAAAATTTGCAGCAATTGGCCCCTGGGTTCACGGTGAAAGATCAGGCTTCTGACCCAATTGAAAAATAATAATTCTGAGGTGGTCCAACCGGTGGTTTTGGACAACTGCGTTCACGGTAGGGCGTATAATTACAAGCTGTAACGCTAAGCGCCTAACTGGCACGTTCACATAAAACTTTGGAGATTTCTTTTTGGTCTTTTGGTTCAAGGGGGAATGAACTTGCCAATTGCTATTATGAATATGTGGGCTGAAGTTTCTGGGAATTCTTTTAGCCCAAACTACTGTATTATTGGGCTACAGTTTAGCTCTGCCCATGAGCTTAAATTAGGCCAGATGTTAGTTCCGAGTGGGCCACAGGGGAATGAGGGAAAGCTGTAAAAACATTGATTGACTGTTCCTTTTTTGGTTTGATTTTCATTCGTTTCAGTCTCACGTGCCATCCTTACATTTATTTGTCATGTTGTTACATGCAACACTAGTTTGGGTGCAAAATGCCTTTGTGCCTGTAGCTGCTGATAATGCGGTCAACTTTCCTCTGTTTGAGAAGTTCTTGAAACAATCTCAATGCTTACAAATGAAGAAAAAAGATGAAAATATCAATCACTTAAATATATTTTCAAGATTAAATAAAAAAATTATTTTATATATTAATAGTGAAACTTTTTTAACTTAATAAACGAGGATGGTGGTACATTTTTTTTAATTAGTTTTTCTTTTTTTTACATGTACACTAAGACATCACTTTTTTTTTATGATTATTATGGTAATATAATTATCTAGATAATTTTATTATCAAAACCTTATTATTAAATTGAACTTATTTTTCATGATTTAAAATTATTTTTTTGGTTACAATCATTAATTTTTAAAAATTACAAAATACTGTTTTTGATATTACTAAAAATTAAAACATTATTTTGTTTAAAAATATAAAAATAATCATGCATATCATAATAATTATACAAATAAATATTTTTAATATTATTCAAAGATAATATTTATATAATATTATTAATATTTTATTCATTTTTATATTAAAATATAATTAAATTATTAAATTAATAAATATATTTATTGATAGATAAATTAAATTTTTTAATATAAATTATGTAAAAATTATTTGAATTAAAAAATAAATCTAATCTATTAAATCATAATAAAAGAAAATTAAAAATTAAATTATATGTAACATATTAAAAAAACATATACATTATATTTGAATTTATTACAATGAATATTAGTTTAAAAATATAAACAATTATTATTTTAAGAGAAAATAAATTTTTAATTCACATATTAAATGAATAATATTGAATATTATTAATTTTATATATCATTTCATCTTAGTGATATGAAATCACTGTATGTAGGATTACTAAGTGATTTTCAAACACAATGATGTAATTATTATGACTTATAAAGTGGTCACCTCGTAACAAATACCACTTAAAGAATATATATTATAATCTTAACTCTTCTTGTGAAGTGAAAAAAATTCATTATAAATGTATTTGTAGACATTCCAATTTGTCTAAGGGTCTATTAAGATAATTCTGTTAATAAAAAATGAAAAAACAAAAAATAGGTGATTGAGTTTGATTAAAGGTAGGTGATTGAGTTTGATTAAAGGTAGGTGTTTGAATTTGAGCTGAATTTGGGGGGTTGAAATTGATATTTAAAGGAAATTGAGATTTTTTTTTGAATTGGAGTTATCAGATTCAAAATTTTATAAATATATGCCTATACAGATCACACAAACACACAAAAAAAAATTAGGAAGAAGGGTAAAAATCAGAAAAAGCAGTCAAAAAAAATTTTCAAAATTTTTTTGGGGTTTTAAAAAAAAATTTTGAAAAAAATCTGAAAATTTTTTCAGATTCCAATGATTTTTTCTAGTCTTTGTCTCAAGTTGAGCTAAGTTGAGTCACTTTTTAAGCCATTCCAGCTTTTTTTTTTGCAGTAAAGCCGAGCTTTCTAGCCACTAAGCTGAGTTGTTTTTTTGTTTGATATTTTTTTATTAATTTATTTTGTTTATTTTTATAGTATTTTTGTATGATTAAATTTAAAAAAAAATAAAAAATGTAAAACTTAATAAAATAAAAATTTGAGAATAAATAATAATTATCCAATGAAGAAATTTTTAGAAATTTTAAATGGTAAAATTCTATAAAATTTTTATGTGAGAAATTTTATCTAAATTTGTACAAAATGGTGAAATAATTTAGTTAAAAATTTCAATAACAATAATTAATATTTATTTTCAAACAAACAATAAAAAAATAAAAAAAATATTAGTAAAAATTTTGGAATTAAATATAAATTACCCAAGGATGAGATTTTTAAAAATTTCAAATGGTAAATTTTTAAGAAATCTCTAGGTGAAAAATTTTCTCTAAATTTGTTTCAAATTGTGGAATAATTTAGACAAAATTTTAATAAAAGTAATTGTATTTTTTTCTAAATTTGGTTGAAAATATTTGATAATTATCTAATAATGAGATTTTTAAAAATTTCAAATGGTAAATTCTTAAAAAAATATTTATGTGAGAAATTTCTTTAAATTTATCCCAAATGATGAAAGAATTTAAATGAAATTTTAATAAGAAATAATTTTCATATTATTTTTCTTTTGAAGATAAAAAAGAAGAAGAAAAAAAACAAGAGTTTCTAAATATACTCAAGTGGTGAAAAATTTAGAAATTAAAAAAAAAAAGAGTTTCTAAATAGGTCCAAATTGTGAAAAAGTTAGAAATCCAAAAAAATAATAAATAAATAAATAAAATTTTTAAATAGACCATAATGGTAAAAATTTTAAAAATTCAAAAGACAAAATATTTTTAATTTAACCCAAATAATGGAATAATTAGATGTATTTTCAATAAAAAAAATTAAAAATTTTTTTCGAACGATAGAGCCTCTTCAATAAAACAAATAAGATTATTGAATAATATTGAGGTGAAAAAATATTTTTTAAGAGTTTTAACAGATTTATGGAGAGTCTTAAAAATTATTTCTAATAGTTGAACATTAAACTTAAAACAATTAGAATCAAAGATCTTATAATAAATTTAAAATAAAGAGGTATCATCCTGTGGATGAGCATGTAAGGGTGTTACAACCTTCTTTACATGTAACAAAACTCTCGAACCCTATTCTGATTCGTAGATCCGAACTTATTTTTTTAGGAACCCTTAGTCAAGTTTAGAAACTCATTAAAAAGATAAATTCTTTAGGTGACCAATCACACATATTGAAAAAGATTAGTAGCAACTTCATTTGTTAAGTCTAGCTATAAATTTATAGATCTATATGTTACGATAGTATATGATAATTTTTCTTAAATATATTTGTTTTTAAGATTTTAAAATTAATTAAAAAGAAACTTTGTCTTGTCTCCTTCTTTTTTTTTTTTTCAATTTCATATCCTGTTTAATTATATCTTGTATATTCAAAGACAATTCAACTTGACCATATTCTAGAAAACCAGTTTACAATTGTAAATTAGATCTGTATTACGAAAATGGAAACAATCTTAATCAGCTCTTTCACTGCCTCAACCCAAGCATTTTAATATCATAAAAAGTTTTCCGATCGGAAAGGCGTAATAAGCATTCACTGATTCACACATTGATGGAATTTGATCTTGATCGTCTTAAATTCTTAAGCTCTCCCTCCATGGAAACCGAATTCCTTCCAGGAACTCTATCCTTGGAATCTGGGCGCTTCAGCCTTCCATCGCCCGTTCGATCAGTTCCATTGAAAACCTGACCCAGCAAACCTTGCAAAGATTCAGGACTAACATAAGATTTTGCAGGCAACAAAGTTGAGTGTGTATTCAAGAATTCACTGTAAACAGGAACCACCATATTCACTGTTGCTTCTCTTATTTGTACTCTCAAATCAGCGTCAGGAATGCTATAACCCCCTCTGTGCCTCTGTGAGATCTCATAAAAACAATTGAAAAATGCTTCCATTTTACCTCTTATAAAAGCTCCTGTTCCCCTGCCGTTGTTGTTGTTATCTTGTTCCTTCAATTCGTCCTTCTGTAACAACCTGACTAAAGGTCCCCATGCTTGCCTTTGATACATGTAAGCTGAGTCCTCGGCAACAGTCTTGTATTTCTTTTTCATGTATTGCTCTCCTAAAAGCTTCCCAAGTTCTGTATTTCTGCTTCTCATGTAAATGTACCAATAAGAGTTCATGACAAATATGTGGGGCAAAATTTTGTCTCTGTAACGTGAATGCTTCGATTGGATGTTTCTCTCAAGAGCTTCCATAATGTTAGAGATGGCATCTTTGAGTAAATTCTCTTCTGTTACAGGTTTTGATAATATGCCCGCTTTCCAAACTTGTTCTGTTCGGAAAACTTTAGCCATGGGTGCACTGTATGTTTCTGTGGTAAGGAACTTAAGGTAATTGATAGCATATCTCACAAGTTTTGGGACTGAACCATCTTGTGGTGGAGGCGAACCATCGGAAGTGCTTTCAATTTGGAGGCCGAACTCCCAAAATACTTTGCTTGAAGCATGCACGAGTAGCTTTTCGAGTTCCCTAAAACGTATGCAAATATCAGCTCCTGATTCACCTTCAAAAACCTCTGAGAATTCGACTTTCAGCTTTTCTAAGGAGTCGAACATGTCTAAGAGCTTGAACAGTTTGTGTGGTTCTTTGTTACTTCTTGCAACGCCTTCTCCAAATCGGAAAAATACTGCCATGATTTTGTCTGCAATCTTGACAAAACACTCCAGCCATACAAGCACTTCCGGAAGTCCTCCCAAAACCTGTTTACAAAGTTTCTTTTCTGATGCAAAGACTGTTTTCACTGTGAGTTCGAAATGCTGGATCCAGAGAGAAATTGCTGTCTCCAGGCTCTCCCACTCCATTCCACCAATTTCTTCCGGAGTGTATGTTCTTAAGTAATCAGGGTTTAATCGCATTAATGCTTTTGCTGCTCTTCTGTATCTCACCTGTTGAACAACCAAAAGAGTCACAGCTTGTAGGCTCCAAAAATAAAATTGTCTCCAAAGCACAGGTTCTCAAATAAAACTGTTTGTCTAGATCATACTCGCTCAATCTATCCATAATCCTAATTTGGTTCCTAGCTTGTAGCAATCTGTTTGAATCAATTTCTTTTGTTCGTTTCGTTTTTAGCCTTTTTTTGGGGGCGCACGGCTGAGATATATTTAAGACAAGAATTAGAATCAGTTCTACAGCTTCCTACTGATTGTAACAAAATCTGGAGGTCTAATTGGATATTTGGTTGGCTGTTCTTGTTACAGTAATAAAGTCTACCAGATGTGCTCTAGGCCTTCCGAGTGATACGTACCTCATCACTTGATTCACTTCTAGGAGAAACTACTGTCTTGTAGTTCTTAACTCAGGAAAATTACCAAAATTATAGAAATAACTTTGAAAGCAAGAAGCCTACCTTAACGAAGATATCAATACATATATCCAAACAATCATTGGCAGCCAGGGTTTCTGCAATTCTCCTGAGAACTTGGATCTCCATTTCCGTGCCAAGTTCAGAAACCACTATCTGATCAGCTTCTTCATCTGCTTGTTGCTCCCCTATATTTTGATGATTTATTTTCTGTAACATAATCTCGAATTCATCCTGCAGCTTCAGTAAAGCCTCATCAAACAACCCATCAAACCTCATGGCATCAACCTCAGATTCATATAGAGCTCTAAGTGTGATTAAAGTCTCCTTCAATCTTTTGGTTCGATATGGATCCGTAGCTTTAGTCCTGCTCAAGAATTCCATCACCTCTTGAAGCTTTTGAATCACAGGCTCACCATCGCGACTGATTAAGTTAATAGCTGAATTAAGCTGATCAACGCAGTTGACATATTTGAGCAGCTTTTTAAGCCTCTTTCTCGAGTTTTTCTCAATAGATAGTTTGTTGGAGAGTTCAATAAGCTTGTCCTGAAGGGATTCAGAGAGCTTGAAACTTTGAAGGAGAGCAAGAGCCTGAGAGACAGCTCTATTTATTCTAGTCTCGAGAGCCTTTGCAGCCATAGCCAAGGACTGCAAAGGTGCTACTTTTTTTGCAGCTGTTGAAAGACTTTCATCTATAAAATCAAACTTCCTTTCCATCTCTTCCAGGCTTTTTTCCATCTTAACCGATGATTGTAGGAGTGTTTTCATATCCAAGCACGCCAATTCTAGCTTGACAAGCGTTGAATCCTCTTCGTTGGCTACCATTGATCTTGTCCTTCACGAACTATCAGGCTAGCACAATGAAGAGACAAGGAGAGCAGAGATCAAATTGCAAGATTGAATATGCGTGCAGGCTTACCTAAACTCTAATAAACTAATGACAAGAACAAAGTTGTGGATAGCAAAACAGGACGAGAAAAAGGATAAATCACGAAGACTCCATCTCGATACATACCAAGAACAAATGGCAAATGTGCAAGAGAAAAACTACGACTGTTCGGCCGGTGTGCTTGGAATCAGTGCAGGCTCCAAAATCAAGAGCACTATTTTTCAAACTATCGAAGCACGTTTGTCCTCTTTCTTTTTCTTTGTTTTTTTTTTGGTTTTCATTAAAGCGGATAACGGGCTTAAGCCCAATATATCAATGAACTCAATTCAACAAAGAGAGTGGGCCAATTCCCCCACCCATAAGCAGATACTTGCGAAGATAATGCATAGTGGTAATTCGTGTTAGTTGAAAAAGTGGTAATCAATTGCTATGTTCAAATCCTGAAGTAGTGCTTTCCATCTATTTGTCTCCAAAACACTTGACTTCATTCATAAACAGTCAAGTTTATAATTAAACGTGGAATTGTAGTGATTTTAAATGTTCATTGTTTCTTCGACATATCACATATATTTCCCTACAGGTCAAGAAGCGACATACAGCTCTTCTCAAGGTTTGACTCTCTTTACGTTCTTTCATTTGTCCATTATCTTTTTAGTGACAAACAAAACAATTTCTTTGTCATTGAAGCCTATACATACGTCTACTTAACTATATATATATAATTCTTTTTCTTTTGCTCCCCATATTTCTGGTTGATTGACTGGTGTGAAAACATGACAAGTGCCATAGGATTTCGGGTTTTCATGCTGACTTGTTTCAATTTTCAATGCCTTCCTATTCATAGATGCAGAAAAACCAGGATTTACTTGGAATGTTCATTTATCAAGACTATCATATCTCTTGTAGTACTGAATGTTCATTTCAAATGGTTTGCATATTGAATTATTACGTGGGAGAATTTAAGTACTGGTTTTCCCTTATAATTCCAGGCAAAGTCATATGCAGACAATTTCAAATGGAATGGCCCAGAAAATACTGGAGTGAAAATTATTAAAATTTTGATTTCTTTTCAAGAACCCGCGAGGATATGACCTGTCAGAGCTTATCATATTACTGCTTCTAATACATCTTACATATGATACAAAAGGGTCAAAAAATAAACTAAAGAGCAAATTAGAAATTGGCAGATGACGGAAGCTTACATTTACAACTAAAGAAACATATTAATACGCGCTTATTATTATTTTTTTTTGCAGTTAATATATACAGTAACAGCAGAACTTTAATAAGTCAAGAAGCTTTGCCGATATTTTCCTCTTCCCAACTTCTTTTTTGGGGCTGCTAGAACAAGTTGCAGAGAGTGACACACAAAGTTAAAAGTAAATGGAGTAAAAACTTTGCATATAGAGCTACTCAAAAGATGCTGACAAAAAATTACCGTACTGTCTCATCTATACATATAGTACTAGCTAGCTCAGATGCAATTTGTCTTAAAACAGCAGTGTACACTTCAAATTTCAAACATTGGAACTAGAATGAGATGCTTTCCTGTTGTGGGATGGAATCTCCATGTGAAGAGGTAGTCCTTTGACTGACATGATAATCTTATCACAATACAGAAAGCTTTGATTGAGCTCTTCTTCCCTTCACTTCCCCACTCAATCCTCACCCAGCATGAAAACCCATTTGATTTAACTGGCACCCTTGAATCAGATAGATGAAGCATCACTTCCCCACAGATTCTCTTGCATGAGTTGCCACCTGCTTTTCCTTCACCTGTTACCATAGATTCGAGCCATGGACACTCTGGCTGACCCACCATCTCTTTGTAAGCAGAATTTGCCAGTCTAACTTTGTTGTTCGTGTCAGATATCACAGCTGGTAAGGCCTCCGAGTCAAACTCTTCTTCAACCTCCTCTGGTTTCTTTGGAAGTTGCATTGTTGGGTTTAGGCTTGGGTGAGGTGCACCCGACACTGAGCTGGAGCCTACTGCTCGAATAGTCTGAGGTGCTATAATGCTGCTGGAGGGAGGGGCCTCTGGGATTCAATAAAAAGCCCGAAGGACAAATAAGGTAGAGGGCCCGAGTCGGAAAGACAAGACTTGACCCAAAAATCACCTTTTTCGGATTTGTCCTCATCCATGGGTCCCACTATGCTCTTTAGGCCCTAGTGGAAATGGCAACACCATAATTATATTTTGTTTCCTCTCCAATGGTGGAATCTGATAAAATCAATGGAAAAAAAAAAAAAGTTGCCTTCCGTTCCTTCAAATTACGTTACTCTCTTGCAATTGCAAGAACGGTGGATCAAAGAGAAGAGTGAAAGCTTCTATGTTTGTCTCTGAGAATCTCGTATTTAGTTTTATCTTTCCTGTTTATGTTGTTAATATGAGGAGAAAGAATCATATTAATATCTATCACGATAAATCATGTCAGCTCGAAACCGACCAACCTATGGGGAGCTTAAGCTTCTCTAGACTCTATGGTATGGATGGTCGTCAATGTGAGAATGACATCTGAGTTTTGCGATTTCTATTAGGTCCACTCAAATGGGATTTTCCTTTTGTTCCATAGCTTGCAATATTGGATAATGACGACTTTGAATCTTGCATGCATGCTCGTTAAGATTTATTTTCTTATTTTAGTGACAAAGACAATGAACTAAAACATCTATTTTATTTGTATTAAGCTTTTCCTGAACTTGCCATCGACATCCTATTCGGGAAACAAAAAGAAGGTCCTTGAAGACATTAATTTTACCAAAGATAATGTTACAATATTTTTTTCAACTATCGTGCCGTATAGCTTGTAGGCATGCATATCAAGATTTCTACATATCAGTACAAAAATTAGGTTGGATGATAAATATCATACTGCTAAATAGAAAAGGCAACGATAGAATTGTTTTTCCAGATGATAAATTAAATTAATAAATGTACAAAAATATAAATGTGGTCTCATCCATTTCAGAATCATTCGTGCAAAACATTAAATATGATACAGACGTATGCTTTAACGGAATTCAATCATGTGCGCCTTTTTTGTTTGATTGGGACTCGAGTTTGTTCGCTTTAGCAATTGAAAGAGATAGAAAGCAATTCAGGTTTCAATTGGAAGGAGAATCTTGAGGGAGGGTTTGAAATTTTGTGAAACAGGAGAAAAATCATGAAGTAAAATGAGAACCAGGTCTGACACGTTCAACGATTAATTTGGAATTGAAAATGACGAAGTAAAATGAAAATCGTTTTCAATCAGCAGGAGAAAAGCATGCAAGAACACCAAATGCCAAACTGATATATTTTACGCATAGATTACGAGTCATGGACCGGGCAAAGGCCACAGACTGCCAAAGGCCATGTGCACAAGAGTTTAATGTCTGGGACCATTTTGATCCGGAAGAAGATCCTACAGCGGTCCCATGATCTTTTCCATGGCAATTTATAATCATTAATGTTTCTTAAATCGAGCATCGGCTTTTGGCCTAACTTTAGGTTCACTGATTTCTGTCATTTGTTTTTATGGACTGAGCTCTCATTAAAACAAATTTCTGCCTCTCAATTTCCCTCGAAAAAACTTCTAAAATGCTGAATTCCGGTTCTTTATATTAATAACTTGCAGCTTCTGATTCCATGTATACAGGGCAGGCTAGCTATATGGTCTGCCGTATATATATAGTTTATGAAACCAATACACGAATCATATGGAAGGAAATCTAGGCTGATTTAACTATGTCGTACGTGGTTGAGTAATCTGATATCAGTGTATTGTTTTGCATCAGTGGCAACCATGAGGATTCAACATCATTGGTAAGGCCGAAGAACAGATATTTTGAATTTACTAGGGTGGAATTCAGTCATTCATCATCCTACATGCTCAGGTCAGACTATATTACATCATTGTGGGTTTCTCCCAATCCAATCAAAAACTGGTTCATTATCATGCCGATGATTACGCAAATGTAGCTTTGATCTAATATTCTGAAAAAGTTGATAACAAGCTTTTGATGTGTTGGCTAGGTGCTCAGCCTGAATCATTAAGAAGTTAAAAGTTCAGGATTAACAGAACTTAAAACATAGTCAAGTACTGAATTCTAGTCAATCACCAAAGGTTCAATTGTCAAAGAAGACTAAAGTCTTCTCAATCTTAAAGACCGAGTCTCCCAAGTGAGAGGCATTCTGAATTTCAGTATGAACAACCAAAGACTTCTGGGAGGAGCGAAGCGATTAAAGCCCCCCATGTGAATTAGAACAGGATGAACAAGGAAAAGTCGAATTTCTTGTGCGCTCTCAACAAATACCAGGCATCAATAGTTCTTGACTTGGTGTTTCAAACTTGAAATTAAATAATTAATATTAATATATAATTAATGGCACTTGGTACTTGGATACGGACTGTGTAGTAATTAAAATATAATTTTTTTAATTTTTAATTTTTAATTAAGTGTTTGATTATTTAAATTTATCTAAACAAACAAACAATTAAGTCTTTCCAAAATAAATAGAACACTTCGTACTTGAAGTGTACAGTATACTAAATAAAATAAAATAAAATAAAATAAAATATTATATTATATTATATTTTAATTTTTAATTAAATGTTTGATTAATTAAGTTTGTTCCAAACAAATAAAAAATTAAATCTGTTCAAAATAGACAAATTAATAAGAACAATCAATTAAATCTATATAAAATAAATAAATAAGTCTGTTCAAATAGATAATTTTTAATTATTTAAAAATGGATAGTTTTTATCTCTTTAAAATAAATAGTTATATCTGTTGAATAAATAAATACTTAATTAATTATATAAACTCTTTTGATTTTCAAAGAAAAGATGGAAACAATTTTAAGAACATTTCCTCTTTTTTCAAATAAACTTCAAATTCTTTTATAAAATTTTATTACAAAAAACTTTTATAAAAATTTAATGATTTGTAATATGTCGGTGAATATTCGACGGATTGATTTAATTAATGTAAATTACAATTAATCATTGGAGGATTGATTTTATCAATGTAAAATATAATTAATCATTGGATTTTATTATATTTTTTAGATTTATTGTCCGTAACTTTTTGGTATACCAACTAATAAATAATACAATAAGAGCAAATAAAACTTAGCATGTATTGAAATTTTTTCTCAAAATTCTAGATTTATCAAAAACTATAATTTCATATTTACAGTTTTTTGTTCTAACAAGAGGCATTCAGGATTACAGTATGAACAACCAAAGACTTGAGGGAGGAGTGGTCAAAGCCCCCATGTGAATTAGAACAGAGTAAACAGGGAAAAGTCGACTTTCTTGTGTGCACACAACAAATGCCAGGCATCAATAGTTCTTGACCTTTTTGTTTCTTTCTCTTCCAATCACCTTTCAAATAGAAATGTTTCTCAATTGAAGTGTAAC